TTGGATTGTCAGCATCGTTGCTTTTCCAACGTAACCATGTTCAATTTGTTCAAAAACAATTGTTACCTGTTAAAAGTTTATTATTTGAACATTCCTGAATGTTTCTGTACAGCTTTTATTTGTTTTTTATTTAGAAATGCATTGTTTTCTTTAAATTTATTTCTACATCTAATCGCACATTTGAGGTTTTAATTTTGCAAAATGTTGTCACCAAAAAAGGTTTAAAATTTTGCCACTTAATCATTATATTAATAATGAGTTTAATGCGGATTTTTTCTAGTTTAACATTTTAAGTGAATACTGAAGAAGTCTCTTGAAATTTCAGAATATCGTTGCTGTTTCGTCTTCTTGTTACGGGTTCTAGCATTCTGAGTATAAAATTTCTACAACATTGTATTTGGCCGTCTGTTACTATTTTAATATCTGATATCTCGGTTGCGTTATTTGCAAATAGTTAAAATTTTTGCAATTGATACAACATTAAAATTATCTGTCTATGTCGCCATTTTTAAAAACTAAAAAATATTGCAATTACGCAACATAGTTTTGAGCCTTTCTTTTCCTAATGATTATTGTATGAGGCTTTAGTGTTTATTGCAGATGACATAAAAACTTTTGTAGTCTGATGTAAAAAACATCATTTGAATTTCTCGTCAATAATATTTTATAAAACTTTGATCTAAATGTTGTTTTGCACTTTTTTTCAATTTTTTGTACTCAAATTATGCCTCGTTTTATGGTGTTTTGATAGATTACCCAAAAGTTTGAAAAAGTTTTAATAGTTGCGCAAAATAAATAGGTGTCTATTACTGGTTGTTAAAATACACAAATTTTGTGTTATTTTCGACCGAAAAAGTATTTTTCTAATGCTAATAAAGTAAAGTTTTAAAATTATTTTGAGAAAGAAATGTCATGACTTCCGGTGCTTTTTGCAGACTTTAACATCAAAAAATAAATTACAAATGGAATTTGAAATACCAATTTTTGAACTTTTTTTAATGTTTAATATCTTTTAGCTAATATCTCTAATGTATGTTTACATATTATCAGTTGTCTCAATTTATTTTTAACCAACTAAAATAATGACTTTTTTTTTGCAAAGATGTGGGGAGAAGGATTACATCTCCCTACTTATTAAAAATAATTATTAATCAGCTCTATTTATAATTCTATCGAATATGATCAGTTATGCATCTAAGCAAACGAACAAATCACAGGAAAACTTCAGTTTAATCTTCAATATAAGAGTATATTTAGATTTGCTGCTATTCCAGGTTTGCAAATTTATCAAAAATAACTAGTTTTTGTCAAAAAAAAAAGAGAGTGCTTTTCTTTTTTTGGTTGTAACAGTGATTATTTTGACAGAGGTTGAAATAATAAATGAAAGGCCTGAAACTGTGGCAACGAGTTCAACATTTATTCTGTTGGTTGGATACATTCATTCATTCATTCATATGATGGACATACAGTAATAACAAATTGTAATGTCAACTTTGGTAATCAAAGCACGAAAAAGAAAAGCTGTTGAAAGAGCAAATATTTGAAAAAATAAAAACAGATAACGATTAATATGCTGTTTTTATGAATTTGGCCTGCATTGTTGTAGGCAATATCAAACAGGTTGGGATCTATGGTCAATACACGAACGTTCAAGATTGAAGAGCGAATCTTGACTAGCGGTAACAAAATCACAGATTCAGCTAATCAAAAAATTGACAGTCTAATAACTGTAGCTGCAATTTTTTGATTTGCTCAAATAAATTTTATACAAAAAAAATTTCTTTGAAAATCTGTTTTTTGCTAATTTTTTTAAACTTCTTTTTGTTTTCTTTTTCTTTTGTTTTCTTTTGTTTTTTTTCCTTTTTTTGTTTTTTTTTTTTTT